GACATCATCTGCTTATATTGTCTGATATGGGCATCGGGATCAGATCGCCCATCATAGGTCTTGAACCGTGGCACGACGAACTTTCTTGAGACATCCATCTCACTGATTTCCCTCGTGAAGGGTGTTTGCATGACTTCGTCCTCGGCCTCGTCCTGGATCGTCTTACCCTTTCTTCTGGAGTCCAATCGGGCTCTGAGATCTACTTCTTCCCTTACGGGATGCCTCCTGAAGTCTCTGGGTTCGTCGGTAAGCCCTCGTTTCCTGGGCGTCGTGTAGATTGGGTTGAGTCCTCCTCGGATTCATCTCCCTTCCTCCGTCTGGATAAACCTCGCCGGAGGTCGTCCAGGGCCAATGGCCTTGCTTTCCTGGAATGGTTGTCAAGATGGCATTCGCCGGCTTTGGGTCGCTTCGGGGCCCTGGAGCTTTCTGCTTTGTGATCCAGGTGGTTCCTTAGATCCTTTGTCTCCGCCTCATGGACGGGGAGTCCTCGGGAGAGGAATGAATCCCTCGACCCTCCGCCTGAGGCAGCAAACTCGTCGAGCCGGCTAAGGACGTTTACATTGTCTTTCTCCAGCTGACGTAATCTATCGCCAAATTTCTCTTCTATCACCTCTGCCAGCTGACGGGCCAAGGGGGCTGATCCTCCTGACCTGATCCCCATACTGGTTTGGGGGGTTACCCCCCTTGACCGAGTAGAGGCACTTTTAATCGTACTGGTCCGATCCCTCCCCCCGTGATGGCAGGGAGCTTGCAACTCATGACTCCTTTGGTAGGGTCCCTTCCCTTTCTGTCTGGTGTTCACCATGGTCACTGTTCTTTATAGAGAAAAGATTAAGAAAACTACTCGTTTCCCACAGACGGCGCCAGATTGTGCGTGCAAGATCCTGCACAATATAAAAAATATTGGGAACAGCTCTCTCCCCTGGTGAACTTTGAGTGAGCCGGTTGAGTGGCCAAACACACTGCTTGAAACAGCCTACAAGGAACGGTGGCAACCTGGAACGGCAAAGGAAGATCCTGGGAAAGGAAGAACGATCCTGTACTTGGGAAAGGTATTTCCTGGAACAAAGGAGAACAAGTTAGAAGGGCGCCGGAGTGTTTTTCGGCGTATCCCCTCCGACGGTCTAGTCAGTCTTTGAATGAGAGAGAGGAAGGAGAAAACACTGATGAGGATATTTTGTAGTAGTGAGTTTGTGATTGCATACCGGCTTTGCCTTTTGGGAGGAGTATTTATACCTTAGAAGCTCATGATTGCTGTCAGTATGGTCAGTAGGTGATCATCAGGCACAGGTAGCGTGTGTATTGATTTGATGAGGAATGTCTTCTCTAATTGATTGCTCGGGATCCCGAGCAATCAATTATGAGCCGTCGGGACGCCGACGGTACAATATGATCCTTTCGGGAAGGATGCAATAAATGCTCTGTAATAGGAGCATTTATTGCCTTTCATATCCGAACCTTACCGCATTGAATGCGGTCTCGTCAACAGAAGGGTGCAATTAATTTGTTTGCTTTCCCAAGTCGCGTGTCAGCGACGGCATGCGTCTGTCTGCTTCTGATGTGACATTATTTGCCACGCGTCCATCCCTTATTGGCTGTGACGTCGGTATTCCAGCGTGTTCTGACATTACTTGTGCTAAGACGAGGTTATGATGAATAGTCTAGACTGGCATAGGCTGATGTCCCGTACGTCAGTAGCGTTATCCGGGAGTAGAGGAAGCGTCCAGGATAGAGTGACCCTCGGCACCGAGGAAAGACTCACCTCGGGGACCGAGGGGTGGTGTGTTTCCGAGGTATACACACGACCGAGGACACGTGTCGTTGTATAATGCACTGAATATGTGATCCTATATGAGAGGTACCTCGGGGGAGAGGACGCCTTTTGCCGATGGTGCTTGAATCCGAGCAACATTGTTCTAGAAACCCCGAGGACACGTGTCTTCATCATAGGGCTTTTCAGAAGAGTCCCATCAGTAAACTATATTTACGCATCATGTTTTTAGGGTATAGTTACACCTTTCAGCTACATCATTTTGCTCAAGACTATCAGATATGGTATATTGCATAACAATCTCACATTTTTACAAGTATTTAATAAATCGTCCTAAACAATGTTACCTATATTGTGGGTTGCTTGGGTATGTAGTACAAGTATAAGTACGCGGTAGGACACTTTTTTAAGTACGCGATATAATGAGAATAGACTTAACTAGTACGTTATTTTTGGTCGCAATTCGTTTTAAGACTCTTATCGAAATTGTTTTCACTACTATACAACATTATATGTTACACAATAATCATAAACACTAAGTTAGTTACCATTTATCTGATGTTTATGCTTGATTTTCTATTATTTAAAATAATATATAATTATAAATCTATATACATGTAGTCGGTTAATATGTATTTTATATTTGTGCGACATATTCCAATGCGACTTAATTTAGGGTTAGTATTATAATTTGAGATCATACATTTTGGTGATCTGGATCACGAACCCACCCCATTTGGGATCGATGTAACTAGATCATGGGTCGTCACGAATTTAGTGAATTTTTGTAATTATAGTCCTAAATGCTGTCAAGACACATAATATTTGTCATAATACTTACCACCACAATCAAACCTAACAATCTTGATGACTTTTCATAATTGTTTTTCTACCTCGATCTTAAAAATTTTAAATTTTTTAAGAGAATCAGATTTTTTCATTAATTTAATAAATATATTCATAACGAGATAAATTATCAATAATTGTAATAAAATATTTATTACCACACAAGGTACGTGAGTAAGGTCCACTGATGTCAATGTGAATGATTTCTAAAAAATTTTGACTACGAGTTGCACTTTCCTTGTTAGATTTGGTTAGTTTACCCCTAATGCAATCACACAAGTTTTAAGGTCTCCAAAATCAATCAAATAAAGAATATCATTCTTTATTAACTTTTTCACCCTTTCCCTATAAATGTAACATAAATGTTTATGCAACAACTGTGAAAACCTTTCTTTAATTAGAGGTCTTTTGGATATAAAATTAACAATATTTGAAAATTTTATTTGTTATTGACAGCCAAGCATATACTATACAAATCAGATGATAAAAAACAATGACCAATAATTTTGGAATTTAAAAACAATCGAGTTTTATCATTACCACTATCCAATTTTATCAAGTAAGGAAATTGAAATCAAATTACGCCTAAATTATAGCATATAAAAAGTATTTTTCTAAGACAAGTTGAAAATTAGTGTCTAAATTCAATCTAACAGTTCCTATGAATGCAAAATGGGTTCCGTTTGCTTGTGAACCTTTACAAAGTTATAACAACATAAACAGAAGTCTCACTATCAATCCACCAATAATTTAATTGGACATTAATTAAATTGGATTCAAAACAAACAAAGACTAGTGAGTTTTTTTTTATTCTTATTTTCTAACAAAAACTTGAATATAGTGCACTCATTTTTTTTATGACCCCCATTTCTTGAAAAAGTAATACTTGACATCTTTGTGAATGACAGCTTAACAACATCCCACATTTTGATCAGTATCATGCCTTTTAAAATCCTGACTATCCTTTGAAATATTATGATTAAGTTTTCTATTATTTTCTTAATACACACTTTGAAACTAGATTTAGGTTGAGAAACAAACAAGATAGTTTAACTCTTATCTTTTCTAAGTTTTTCTTCGTCAAAATTACATTTGGAGATAAGTTCATTTATTATCTATGGACTCATTTTGGGTATTGTAGACAGTTTTAATTTGGCTAAATTGTTTTTTAGGGAAAAAGTTAAGAGTACGATGAAAAATGAAATCATCAAGAATAACAATTTTAAAAGTTTTGAGCTTAGTTTAAGTGTAAACCTTTTTAAGGATATATTCTTTAACACCATTTACATTGTCATATTTCATATTCGTTAATTTATTTATTAGTCCCCCAGCTTCAGATTTTTTGGATACATTATATCTCTCTTTTACAGCGGTAAATAACTCTTTGACATTTTTGGTTTCAAGCAAATCACTCATAAGGTGTTCAGAAATAAACCTTTTCATGACAATAATACTCAGCCAATTAGATTTCTCCCACTTTGCATAAAGTTCTTTTACTTCAGAAGAGCTTTCACTAGTAGGTTTAAGGAGGTTCATTATCTTTCAAGGCTAAGTTTTTATCAGCAATTCCCAGGACAAACTCAATATCTTATTTCTATCATTATAATTGGAACCTCAATGTTGGCATTTTTGTTTTTCATAGCAAAAGACACTGTTCAAGACAATGAGAATTCAAATATTTAGCAAATTTTGGCAATAAATAAATAAAATATACATTGAACATAATAAGCTCTATTTTATTAAGAGAATCTAAATACATCACTACAGACTCCCCTTTGGGCAAAAAATGTAATATACTATAAGTCTTCTCTTTCATGAAACTAACCAATAAGAATACTCGAGTTTCGATAAGACTATCCCTTTTGAGCAGATAAATCATCTAGACTATTGCACCTCTAATACAATGTTTCATGACATTTTCAAATTATAATATACAATAACCCCATTTAGGCAAGTAATTATATATTATAATTTAAAGACCATCTCGTAACAAAAGTACGAGAAAACCTACAAATTTTAATGAATGAACACTTTTGTAGCAACTACCTATCTTAACCCATAGAATTTTTTCAAACCATGATATTTTCATGACATCTTATAATTTGAAAACCATCTTGTATGAGAACAATCAATAAATTTTAATGAATAGACCGTTTTGGTGACAACCATCTATCTTAATCTATAAAATTTCCCAATCCGGGATATTATCACAAATGTCATAATTAAATATCATGTGATCAATGGATCTCTAGTTGTTTTTATTAGGTTATTCCATTAAATTTTCCATGTGTTTTTTTCAAGATAAGACCACGCTTTCCATTGTAGTGTTTAGAATTAGCATCCTATTATGTTGTTCCTTCAGTTTTTTGGTTTCTAGTTGCAGGTCAAATCAGCAGACAATCGTATCCTCCAGGAACAACTGCAGAATAAGGTCAAACAGCAACGTTCTTGTCTCAAATGTTGTAATTGATGTATTCCTAATGGAATTTATCTCTCAACTTTTTTTATCATGTTCATTTCATTAAAGATGCTGCTAAATTGTCATAAATAAGAATGGTTTTGGTTTGGTTTTTTGCTCTTTTTGTTAAAACCTCATCACTTCATTGTTATTGTCAGTGTTCAGAGAATGAAGAACTGCAAGAGAAAATCAGTTTCTTTCCTCATCTATTTTTGGCTCTTTGTCACTTTGATCGATGTTTTCCCCTGTTACTAGGAGATCAAGAATGGGAAATTGAAGTTAGAATAGTGTCCAGAATCAAAAATTGGCTGAAGAAGCTTCTTATGCCAAGGAATTGGCCTCTGCTGCAGCTTTTGAATTGAAGAATTTGGCTAGTGAAGTCACCAAGCTCTCATTACAGAGCGCAAAACTACAAAAAGTTATTGGCTATTCAATAATTATTGAATTCTAAAGGTGTCGGTGTTCAAAATTGTAATGGTGGCAACTACAAGAACAGTAGTGACTTAAGACCCGGTCGTAAGGGTCTACTCTCCGGCCAAGCAAAGGAAGTTTCAGGAATAACCTATGATGACTTTGACTTGTGGAACCTTGGTCCTGAGGATCTGAAAATGGGGTTGTAGGGAAGGAAACAACGTGAAGGTCACTCTTGAGGATGCCTTGGCTGAAAAGGAACTTGTGGAAGTTGGACGTAGGAAAAAGGTTGATGAGGCAAAGAAAATGGAGACAACTTTGGAAAATGACTTAGCAAACATGTGGGTTCTTGTTGCTCAGCTTAAGAAAGAAGCGGAACCAGTCACCAACTCAATTACTAATGAAAGGCATAATGATGGAACAAGCCATGTAGATGATGGAACAGGAATAATGGTTTTGGATGTTACAAAATTAGCTCTCAGCATTCTCAAGGGAGAACTACTCTTTGTTCGTCTAAGGTCTCCCTCTCTGACTGTCAGTGTGCACATATGAGTATGCATTTGCCTTACTGTCTCATATTCTCTTATGTGATTATGTAATATAAGTTGTGCCTGTTTGGGAAGACAAAGTCCCTTTGATGATGCAATCATTCTTATCCTTGGTCTTGCTTGTAAACTGTAAAGAAACCATATAAAAGAGAGCAAAACTTTATGTTTATACCTCCATGATCGTGGCAATGTTTTTCTTTGGGTAAAGTACACTGGCATCCCCCTGAATTTTGGTGAACTAAAACGGTCATCCCTTAACATATAAGAAATGACACAGAGGCTCCTTAATAGAGTTGTTAAGAAGTCGTTAATGAAATAGGCATTTTCCTAATTTAATTAAGTTAAAATTTAAAAATCAACAAAAAGCAAGGGCAACTATGAATTCAGATTGAGGTTTTTTTTAATCATAATCGGGTTAGAAGGGGAGTATTTTTATAGCCCACAAAAGTACCAAATGAAGGAGTATATGGTTTTTTTTTTTTAATCTTCGCGGTCTATATTAGTTAGTCAAAACCCAAGGGGGTGTTAATTTAAGAAAACCTCTCTCTCTCTCTCTCTCTCTCCCTACGGTACATTGACATTGTTGATGGAAGTTTCTCTTTAGAAACTTTATATCTTTGGCTGGAAGAGAGATTATTGAACTGTATCCCGTATGACGTGCTCTAAGTAATCATTTATCCATGTTTTTTCTGAAACACGTTTTAGAAACCTGCCTGGGTAACTTAGAATGGATGTCAAGGTTCTAGTGTTAATACTCTTCCCAAGGTCGAGGCTTGTAAGATGTCTGGGTTCATTTTATTTGTGGTGTTTACCAATCTTCTGGGCACCCTTATAAAATTGTATGCAATTTGTTCAATGTGTTATTAGTTTGATCCCTAATTTTTTTTTATAAATAATCCCTAAATTTTTTCAATGTTTCATATTATTATGTTTTTTTTAGACCATGTTACTATTTTTTATTGAGTATGTTATTATATTTTCAGTGTTACTTTTTTGAATGTTGAATAATTGGAGCCTTCTTCCTCTAGTTATGAGTTTAAATGCTACTATTTTTATTTTCAATGTTCGATATTATTATTATTTTTTATTAAGTATGTTATTATTTTTGTTAAGAGTGTTACTGTTTTTATTAAGTATGTTACTATTTTTATTGAACATGTTATTATTGTAATTTTTTTAAAATATTAAGATTAAATATTTCTATTTTTTCATGTTTAAATGTTATTATTTTTTTGTGTTAAATTATATTATTTTTTGTGTTTAAATGATAATTTTTTTTTGTATTTGAATATTATTATAGATAGATATAAGAGAGATTTTTTTTTAATATTAGTGAAATTCGTAAAATTTAAGAATTTTTAATTTTACTTTACTTTTACTTTTAAAAGAAAGAGATAATTTAATAAAAAATAATTTTTTTTATCGAACTTAAATTCAAATAATTCTCCATTGGGCCGATCTTTAAATTTCTTCAGTGTTAATGACATAAGCTGTAATACTGACAGTGGGCCTATATTTGTGCCCAACTGTACATCAACATAACCGCCATTTGGACCATATTTATAAAGCAAAGGCGTCACCGCCACCGCCTGTTTCTAATTTCTGTGGAAGTGTGTGTTTGAGAGAGAGGGAGAGAGGGCGTGGGGTGAAAAACCCAAATCTCTTGGGTGAGTGATTGAAGAGAACTCTGTGATCTCTCCATCCGCTGGATTCTTATGACTCCATTCTTGACTATGGCACCACCAACTCCAACTCTCAGAGTCTTCTGCCCCTCATTCCGTCTCTTGCTTGGGACTCTCTCTTCAATACAAAGGAGAGAGTACCGAGCAAGAGAGGGAATGAGGGTATGTATCATCTTTAGGATTTTTTCTCTCTCTTCCTCTCTCTCTGTATAATGTTACGATGTGTATGTATAATTTGAGTACATACTTTCTTGGTTGATTTTTAGTATATTTTCTCTTTTTTTCTTTGTGTAATGTTGGTTGTGTATATTTAGGTACATACTTTCTCGGGTGATCTTTAATATGATTTCTCTCTTTTCATCTACTTCCCACTCTTGCCCAGTATTCTTTTCTCTCTGTTTGTAATGGTATAATGTGTGTATATATATGTGTGTGTGTGTGTGGGTATATTTTCTTTGGGTTTATGCGTTCTCTGTGGTTATTTAATCTGTTTTTTTTTTTTTTTTTGCTTTTATGCGTTATTGGTTGATCTTTTATATGTTTTCTTTCTTTTCCTCTTCCTCTTCTTGCCTCCCCTATACCGATCCCCAGCTGTCAGATCAGATGCTTCCCACTCTTGCCCCGTATTCTTTCTCTGTGTGTAATGGTGTAATGTGTGTGTGTGTGCGCTTTCTTTGTTGATCTTTAATATATTTTCTTCGGGTATATGCGTTATTTGTTGATCTTTAATTTGTTTTCTTTGGGTTTACACGTTTTTTGTTGATCTTTAGTGTGTTTTCTCTCTTTTCTTCTTGCTCTTCTTTTCTCCCCTATCCCGATCCCCAGCTGCCAGATGCTTCCCACTCTTGCCCAATATTCTTTTCTCTGTGTTGATGTTTAGTATATTCATGTTGGAAGGATGTTATTTCTCTGTATTGTGGTTTATTGCTTTGCTGGTGGAACACTGAGTTTATTGCTCTGCAGGTGGAACACTGCGTTTATTGCTCTGCAGTTTTTATTGGGAGAATGTATTCAGGAGTTGGGAAAATTTCCTCTTTTGCAGTCCCTTTGGGAATGTTATAATAACGATTGTTACATCTGTTATTTGGCAATCTCAATTTATGCAATCTTTTTCTTCTAATTGTCAGGAAATCAAGCAAGAAGGGCCGCTGGATGCGGGGCTTCTTTTAGAAGTTAATGCACAACTACGATAAGTAACTCTGTTGAATGGTATTATTTATACTGCCTGTTTTTACTTTTACTTGTAGCATGAGGTTGTGGTTGTTATTGGCTAATGTTGAGATAGATATGAGTTGTTTCCGATGAGTTGAAGAGGTGAACAAGTTTAGTGGCCACATGCTTTGGACGGGGACTATCATCTCTAATCGCAACTCTATGCTTCCACTATCATCTCTAATCGCAGTTATGCCAGATAAAGGTCTTTTTTCTTTTGCTTCTTTCTTTTTCATGTTGAATTATGTATATTATCAATAGGTTTCTGTCAAACATGGCAGTCTCATGGATATACGCCTTGTTAATTCAGTTGTAAGATGTGAAAGCACAATTCTTTATTAGGCCATAATTAGATTGCTAACTGACTCGTTCTGGGGCATTATATAAAAGGCAATTAGGAGCACAAATTACCAATTTGTAGACAAGGGATCAGTTCTACCTGTAGAAAATTTTAATTACTCTTGAAAATAGTTAGTTAATGTGCATGTGCCTTCAGACATATTTGATTTAGACTTTTTATTATTAATAAAACTTGTATTATCTTTGGTAACGAAGCTTCTCTGATCTTTAGTGCTTTTCTTTCTTCTTATATCAGGTGATAAATGACTTGCTGGATCCAACTGTTCAAAATTTACGTGTTAGAGTAGATGCACAGGTTTCTTCAGTAGCGTACTGAATTTTTTTGTTTTTTTGGTTTTCCTTTTGGCTTGCATTTTCCAGTTCTTACGTTCATCCATTTACTTCCAGAGAGAACCTTCATGATGCTTATTTTCTTAAAACCCCCACCCATGCCTGCATAAAGGATACTATGTCGTCATTAGATTGAAGATCTGATGGTGGGTCATTAATGGGCCATGAGCATAATTTTTTCCTTATTTATCTTTATCTGTAGCTTCTTGAACAATTAAGTTCACAATTCTTTAAGTTTTTCTCTGCAGTCTCTTCAGTGTTGTAAAAATTATATTATTGCTGAGTTGAAATCTGTTGGTCTTATGTATGCTAGTATATGCTCGTATGGTACTTATGTCGATGGTGTAAACGAAGTAGTTCTGCCACTTGGACATGCGCTGTCTCTCTCCCTTTTTTTTTGCTGCTGGGTTGGATATTTACTGGGCCTGCCCCTTGTAGGATTAGTGAATATTCAGTTGGTCTAGTTCTTGTTAATGATTTTAACCATCTTCCTATGATTGCAGAGCCCCAGCATATCATTCAAATAACTTTAATATGTACAGTAGCCGTATTCACACAATATCTATGCCGGTAAAAATTCTTCAATCTGGTAAACTATTCATCAACAACAGGGTGTGTTCCATTGTCTTTAAGTGGAATATAGATTCATTTTCTTCTATTCACTGAATTTAACTTCATGTTCTGATTTTCATCATTCATGAGATTGAATTGTATGTTGATTTTAAATTGGTAAGACTCCATCCATATAGGGTTGAAATAACGCAATTAGAACAATGAGTGATGTTTGAAACAGAGGATTTTCTTACAATTGAGGCTGAAGAATGACCTTAAAGTTGATAACTTAGGAAGTTGACATCACTTGCTCCAGTAGACGTGATTCTTAGAGATCAAATCCAGATTATATTTGTTGCAGAAATTGATTTCCAATGGATTGGAAAGTAGATTATTATCTGTCCTTGAGGACCTTTTGTCCCGAACACATGGTACATTGAATGGTAATATGTGAAGTTTCTCGTAGCCGACTTTGGAAAGCATTTGGAAGCGTTCTCAAAGAGCATTTTAACTGGATACCAATAGGGATCTTTAATTTGGCTAGAAATCTACTTGTGATTTGTTCATGGAGTGGTGCATCGAGTGCTTGATTTTGTTTGTTTGTGTCTATCATGCTTGTGGTGGGTGTAGTTGAATAGTTCACTTTTGGCATGACATTTTTTGTGTGGGGGTAACTACTATGAGGCTTCCACCCCAAGGTATCTTTGTCTTATTTCTCAAAGCGAGTAGGTGCTTGGTTTATAAATTTTTTATTTAGTAGTGGTGTTGTTCTGAAGTCAGCAATTAGTTAGAGTGTTTTGGTGTATTATAGTTTTTTTTTTCACACTCAAAGTTTTAGTGTATGTGCATGTTTTTTGGTTTATTACTTGTTTGTGTGTTTATTATGTATTAGTGTGCGCGTGTGTGTATTTCTAGTGTGTATTTGTGTGTGTATATGTTTTTTGGTGTAAAAGAGTGTGTATTGTGTGTGTTTTTTGTTTGGTGTATTAATGTGCGTGGTTTTTTGTGGAGTAGTTTGCGTGTTTTGGTGTATTGGAGTATGTGTGTACTTTTTGGTATATTGGTGTGTGTATGTGTGTATATGTGCACTTGTGTATTTTCATGTATTAGTGGTTGGTTATTAGTGGTTTGTGTGTTTATTATGTATTAGTGTGTGTGTGTGTGTGTGTTTATTGTGTATTTGTATGTGTTTTGGTGTAAAAGAGTGTGCTTTTTGTTTGGTGTATTAATGTGCGTGGTTTTTTGTGTATTAGTATGTGTGTTTTGGTGTATTGAGTTATGCGTGTATTTTTTGGTATATCAGTGTGTATGTGTATATATGTGCACGCGTGTATTTTCATGTATTAGTGGTTGTTTGTTTTTTAGTGTGTTAGTGTTTGTTAACATTGTGCGTGTGAGTACTTTTTTGATATACTAGTGGGTATACTTGTTTGTTGTATTAATGTGGGTGGTTTTTGGTTTATTAGTGTGTGCGCGCTCGTTTTTACATATTAGTGTTTTGTGCGTGTTTACATATTAGAGTGTGCATGCATGTGTTATGTGTATTAGTGTTTGTTTTTGTTGAGTGTATTTTTTTTATATCTTAGTACGCTTGTTTTGGTGTATAGGGATCTGTGTGTTCATTTTTGATCTATTAGTGTGTGTATATGTGCGCGTCTGATTCTATGTATTAGTGCATGTGTGTTTTTTGGTGTGTTAAGTGTGTCAATATAACCGCTATTTGGGCCATATTTATAAAGCAAAGGTGTCACCGCCACTTCCTAATTTCTGTAGATGTGTGTGTAAGAGAGAGGGAGAGAGAGTAGGGGGTGCAAAACCCAAATCTCTTGGGTGAGTGATTGAAGAACTTTGTGATCTCTCCATCCACTGGATTCTTATGTCTCCATTCTCGGCCATGGCACCACCAACTCCAACTCTCAGAGTCTTCTGCAAGAGAGGGAATGAGGGTATGTACCATCTTTAGGATTTTTTCTCTCTCTTCCTTTCTCTCGGTATAATGTTACAATGTGTATTTATAATTTGAGTACATACTTTCTTGGTTGATTTTTAGTATATTTTCTCTTTTTTTTTTATGTGTAATGTTGTTTGTGTATATTTAGGTACATACTTTCTTGGGTGATCTTTAATATGTTTTCTCTCTTTTCATGTACTTCCCACTCTTGCCCAGTATTCTTTTCTCTCTGTGTGTAACGGTATAATGTGTGTATATATGTGTGTGTGTGTGTGTGTGTGGGTATATTCTCTTTGGGTATATGCGTTCTTTTTTTATCTTTAATTTGTTTTTTTTTTTTTTTTGGGTTCATGTGTTCTTGGTTGATCTTTAATATGTTTTCTCTCTTTTCCTCTTCCTTTTCTTTTCTCCCTTATCCTGATCCCCAGCTGTTAGATGCTTCCCACTCTTGCCCAGTATTCTTTTCTCTGTGTTGATGTTTAGTATATTTTCTTTTGTTTCCTGATATTCTTGATGAATTAGACTTGGAAGGATGTTTTTTGTAGTATATTTTCATGTTGGAAGGATGTTATTTCTGTGTTGCAGTTTTTCTTGCTGTGCAGGTGGAACTGAGTTTATTGCTCTGCAGTTTTTATTGGGAGAATCCACCAGTTCACTTAGGTAAATCTGAGGTATTGGTTTCTTTCTTTAGTCTTGAAATACATTTTTATGTGAAAGTTAAAAATATCACTAGTTGAGTAAGATAGAACTTTCTTTCTCAAAGTCAAATTGCACTTCTTGTAGAAAGCTGGTAGGATTACAATTGTGGCTGAGGTGGGAAGAGAAGAAATAGCAGGGCAATCTGTTTTTTTAGTTTTTTTTTTGGGTGGTTGGGGGTTGTTTGAGGGGTTGCATAGCAGGCTATTCATTTATGGTGCTTGTAGTAGACTCGGTTCATACATCTTTTACTAGCAGAACACGGTTATCTTCAATCTATTTTTGGCAATGTTTTTAAATATTTTTCACATGGTGTTCCCAATCTCTAACTTTTGATTCTCAAGATTGCACTTAAATGTGGTCGTGCCTACAATTCCAAATATATATATAGGAGAAGTTTTATATTCACTCTCATCTTTCATGTTTCTTGAATTAGATTGAATATATTTCGCCCCCCACTCTTATCATTTGTATTTCCATACACAACATGTTCCTAAATACTGGGGCGCCTAAGAGGATATGTTATGCACAAAATCCAACTGCTAGCAATCATTAATGAGAAGTACTTTGGAAGACTAATGTTTCACAAATTAATGGCTCGACAAAGTGAAACTAAAAGAGTGGCATAGAGATTCCAAATCAACTATTTATCGTGGGACGACAACAATTCCGCCAAATTTTGCCTCCCTTGCCTCTGTCTCCTTTGCATCTAGGTTGCCTTGATGCCGACGACTCAATAGAAGTTTAACTATAACATTCATTTGCTTTTTTATTTACCATTCTTTCTTCTCTTTGCACTTTAATGAAAACATTTAGTGGCTTAGGGTGCTCCATTTGTCTTGGACTGTTGTTTTTGTTCTTAATTCCTGCACCTTGACAAAAGTTATACATTCTTTATCTAATGTGATTTTTGTTTCGTAAAAGTAATACAATCAGTGGAAAGTAGGAAGCCAATTTCAGAATTCAGATTGATTTGATTATCTGACAAATCCAAAGGTAATTGTTGGACTACAACCTTGGGAACAAAGGTTGCCAGAACTGATACTGGGGGTAAAAGTTGTATTATCATGAGCATTAGAAGAAAAACCTAAAAATGCAACAAAATAAGGTACAGGGAGGGAGATATGAATTGTTGAGATAGATATGAGTTGAAGAAGGGGAACAAGTTTAGCGGCCGCATGCTTTTGATAATGGACACCAGTAACAGTTCAATCGTTAAAAGGTAGTGCGAGGCGTAACAATGTGGATAAGTGTGGGTCATTGGATTGTTATTGGCTAATGTGGTTTATTATGAGTCATTGTCTAGAGGGGAATTGAGAGATGATTTTGAAGGGGAGCAGGACATTTGCTTTCTTTGATTAGCTTTTCTTGAAATGGAATTAAGGTTTGTTTCTAAAATTTCCAGCATGAAGAGCAAAAGTTTCCTCTTTGCATAATCAGAAAGAGAGAATGGGGATGATATTGACAAGATTTGGAAAACATCCAAGTGGTTTTATAACCCTTTTTATGCACTTGGCTTATTTTATGAAGAATACAGAGAAAATGGTTTCCCCAATTTTTAAATTCTATTCTGTTTTCTTAAAAACGGGGCTACTGACGGTGAAATGACTTGTTTTAATATAATAAACAGGAGGGGACTTTAATTTGTGCAGTCAATCCATATGCTGGGAAATCATTTAAAAAGACTGTGGAAGTGGGTATGCTAATAGATATGTTGAGGGATGCAAATGAAAAGGAGTTACTGGTGCTTTGCTGTATGTTTTAAAGCGGCCTTTTTCTACCAACCTAAGTTTATTTCTCTATAATTTCCCTGGATTGCTGTAATTTTTACTTTTCTATGGTTGTGATTTGGTACTAATTAACCTTGTCTCACACCTTTATGTGTCATAATACTGCTGCAAGTGCTCTTCCTTCCGTAAATACAAAAAGTTTCTGCAGTAGACTCATGAAGCTTTTTTTTCCCTACTGTTGTATTTTGGGCAGGCGGTACTGGAGTGTGTAGATGCACGGGAAATATATGATTGGGTCACTAGTTTATCTTTCAGAGTGCTCAAAAGATATTTTTGTATGATCTGTCCATTATTGACGTAATTTACCATGCCATGTCTCAAATAATTAACTCATTCTCACACATATCAGTTTGATGCTAATTTATCTCATTTTTTAATAAGCAACTCAAAAAGTGTACCCATAAATGATCCTTGTTAATTGGGGAATAAGGTTCTCATTAAGATGGGGTATAATTATTTGAAGTGCATGATGTGTGTTTTATCTTAACATTTCTATGTAGTTTGATTGTAACAAGATCGTCTAATTTTTTGAGCTGCTTTAGCAGTTTGTTGTAGAAAATGTATTTGCGTTCAATGGGAGCTTTTGGATACGACTTGTGGCTAGAACAGATACTTGCAAATCAGAGGAGATTTTATACTTTGGATCGAATTTGTTTATTTCTCTTAGCTCTGCCCGTTCTTATGTAATAGAAGTTTTGCCACCTATTTTTGTTTGCAGAATGACCATGAAGAATTGGCTTTATCTGCAATGAGCATAGTGGATTGCCTAGTCCATAAGACTAGTGTAATGTTTGTTTCTCCCACTGTGCTAAAACACACCTTGCACCCTATATAGCAAGATTATTTCAGATTCAGAGTGTTGCTTAGAGTTGTCGGGATATTTCTATTTCATGTATTGTTGTTGTACTTCTTTGAATCTTTGTTGTTGCTGCTGGGAAAAATAAATTCTGCTACTGATGTTCTCAAGGAAGTTTTAAAACCTGTAGTTGATGAAGAGGAAGATATTTCTTGGCCTCCTAGAGTTTTCGAGGCTCTCTTTTTCATGGAAAAAGTATGTTTTCATTTTCTACTTGGTTTTTTTTGTTGTCATCATTTTGTGCTGAAAATTTTAGGGAAGCGATAAACATTTGTAGTTCCAATGAACCTTTTGGTGTTTTTTTAATCCCTTTTCTTCTAGTTATGTTCATTTATGGATGTTGTGCTGTATTAGGACTCTTATCTCAACCCTGATGGGACCATCTTGCACCTTTAAAAGAAAAGGGAAAAGAAAAACAGAAGGCCAATTACTCATGAATGTCTCTAAAACTACTGTTGCCAGTAAGATTTCTTTTCTTTCTTACTATTATTACTTCAGTGATTTTTTTTTGTTTTGAAGGAATAGTCTCAGCAGAACTACTGAATTTTTTTTCTCTTTTGCAGTCCCTTTGGGAATGTTATAAAAACGATTGTTACATTTGACATTTGGCCATCTCAATTTATGCAATCCTTTTCTTCTAATTGTCAAGAAATCAAACAAAGGGAGGAAGAAAGGCCACTGGATGGGGGGTTTCTTTCAGAAGTTAATGCACAACTATGGCAAGTGAGTTTGTTGAATGGTATTATTTATACTGCTTGTTTTTTCTTTTACTGGTAGCATGAGGTTATGGTTGTTATTGGCTAATGTTGAGATGGATATGAGTTGTTTTCGATGAGTTGAAGAAGGTGAACAAGTTTTAGTGGCTGCATGCTTTTGATGGCAACAAGCTAGGACTTGAGGCTATGTTGCCAAAAGTTCTGCAACTCTATGCTTCCACTATCATCTCTAATCGCAGTTATGCCAGATAAAGGTCTTTTTTCTTTTCCTTCTTTCTTTTTTATGTTGAGTTATGTATATTATCAATAGGTTTCTGTCAAACATGGCAGTCTCATGGATATACGCCTTGTTAGTTCAGTAATAAGATGTGAAAGCATAATTCTTTAATAGGCCATAATTAGATTGCTAACTGACTCGTTCTGGGGCATTATATAAAAGGCAATTAGGAGCACAAATTACCAATTTGTAGACAAGGGATTAGTTCTACCTGTAGATAATTTGATTATTCTTTAAAATAGTTAGCTAATGCGCATGTGCCTCAAGACATATTTGATGTAGACCTTTTATTATTAATAGAGCTTGCTTTATCTCTGGTCACCTAACGAAGGTTCTCTGTTCTTTAGTTTTAGTGCCTTTTTTTCTTCTAATATCAGGTGATAAATGACTTGCTGGATCCAAGTGCTCAAAATTTACGTGTTAGAGAAGATGCACAGGTTTCTTCTGTAGCTTACTGATTTTTTTTTTTGTTTTTCCTTTTGGTTAGCATTTTCCGGTTCGTACGGTCATCTATTTACTTCCTGAGAGAACCTGCATGTTGCTTATTTTCTTAAAACCCCCACCCACTCCCGCATGAGGATACTATCGTCATTAGATTGAAGATCAGATGGTGGGCCACTAATGGTTCTTGAGCATAATTTTTTCCTTATTTATCTTTATCTGTAGTTTGTTGAACAATTAAGTTCACAATTCTTTAAATTTTTCTCTGCAGTCTCTTCAGTGTTGTAAAAAATATATTATTGCTGAGTTGAAATCTGTTGGTCTTATTTATGCTAGTATACTTATGTCTAGGGTATAAACAAAGTAGTAGTTCTGCCACCTGGGCATGCTCTCTCTCTCCTCACTTTTTTTTGGCTGCTGGCTAGAATATTTACTGTGCCTGCCCCTTGTAGGATTAGTGAATATTCAGTTGGTCTAGTTCTTTTTAATTATTTTAACCATCTTCCTATGATTGCAGAGCACCAGCATGTTGATTCAAATAACATTAATTTGTACAGTAGTTGTATTCACACAATTTTTACTCTGGTATGTGTTTCATTGACTTTAAGTGGAATGTAGATTCATTTTCTTCTATTCACTGAATTTAGCTACATGTTCTGATTTTCATCATTCATGAGATTGAATTGTATGCTGATTTTACATTGGTAAGACTCCATCCATATAGGGTTGAAATAATGCAATTAGACCAATGAGTGATGTTTGGAACCGAGGATTTTCTTACAATTGAGGCTGAAGAATGCCCTTAAAGTTGATAACTTAGGAAGTTGACATCACTTGCTCCTATAGATGTGATTCTTAGAGATCAAATCCAGATTTTTTGTCACAGAAATTGATTTTTGATGGATTGGAAAGTAGATTATTATTTGTCCTTGAGGACCTTCTGTCCTGAACACATGGTACATTGAATGCTAAGATGCGAAGTTCCCTTAGCTGACTTTGGAAAGCATTTGGAAGCATAGCTTCTCCAAGAGTATTTTGATGCTGAGGCTAGAAATTTGCATGTAAATAGAATGGCTTGGGATACCAATAGGGATCTTTAATGTGGCTAGAAATCTACTTGTGGTTTGTTCATGGAGTGGTGCATCAAATGCTTGATTTTGTTTGTTTGAGTCTATCATGCTTGTGATTGGTGTAGCTGAATAGTTCACTTTTGGCATGACATTTTTGTGTGGGGGAAACTACTATGAGGCTTCCATCCCAAGGTATCTTTGTCTTATTTCTCAAAGTGCTCGGTTTGTAAATACTCCAGAGCCTGCAATTAGTTAGAATGTTTTGTTGTGTTATAGTTTTTTTTTTTCACACTCAATAAGTGAGTATGTGTGCTGTTTGGTGTATTTGTGTGTACTTATTTGGTGCATTAGTGTGTTTATTTTGTTGAGTTACTATGAGTGTTTTAGTGTATGTGCGTGTGTTTTGGTTTGTTACTTGTTTGTGTGCTTATTATGTGTGTGAATGTGTGTTTTGGTGTAAAAGAGTGTGTATTGTGTGTGTTTTTTGTTTGGTGTATTAATGTGCGTGATTTTTTGTGTATTAGTATGTGTGTTTTGATGTATTGGGGTGTGCATGTGTGTATCTTCATGTATTAGCGGTTGTTTTGGTGTATTAGCTTGTGTTTATTTTTTGGTGTGTTAGTGTTTGCTAACATTGTGTGTGCATACTTTTTTGGTATACTAGTGCGTGTATTTGTTTGTTGTGTTAGTGTGGGTGTTTTTTTGTTTATTAGTGTGTATGTGCATGTTGTTACATATTAGTGTTTTGTGTGTGTTTACATATTAGAGTGTGCATGCTTATGTTCTGTGTATTAGTGTTTGTTTTTATTCGATGTATTTTGTGTGTATTTTTTTTTGATATCTTAGTCCGCTTGTTTTGGTGTATGGGGATATGTGTGTTCGTTTTTGGTCAGTTAGTGTGTGAATATTTGCGCGTCTATTTCTATGTATTAGCGCATGTGTGTTTTTTAGTGTATTAAGTGTGTTAACATGATGTGTGTGTGGTGTGTTAGTATATGTGTGTATTTTTATTGTATTGGTGTGTGTATGTATGTTTTTACATATGCGTGAGTGCACGTGCAAATGTTATTTTTGGTGTATTAGTACATGTGTGTGTGGGGCAGTGGTTTTTGATGTATTAGTGTGCGTGTGGTTCTATGCGTTTTTACATTTTAATGGTGTGCATGAGATTTTTGATGTATTTGTATGTGTGTTTTTACATATTAGTGTGTGTGAATGCGTGTATATTTTCAAATAAGATAAATATAACAAGTTTTTAACACAACAAGTATTTTTAAAGAAGTAAAAGTTTCTTTTTTTAAAATCCTACTTATTAACTTATTTAATTGGTAAAATTACATCAATTCAAATATTTATGGGTGTACCGTGTAGTTCACTAGTGTTACTTGAATCTAAATACTACTTTGGTCTATTGAATAGCTTATATGATTCCATTGTGCATATTATTTTCAATTTTAATGGGGCACTTGGGGATTTGAGGGTGAGTGAGGGGCTACTGAGAGGTCAAAAGAATATCACATTTTATTTTCCATGTACTATTATTTGATCCGAAGTGGATGGATGGGAAATTTATTATGTTGTACATGAACTCCACTGCTGCATGAAGCTTTCCTCCACTTAATTAGGCGTGGTAAAGGTATATGAATTTATGCCTTTTAATTTTTTTTTTTTTTTTCTTTGTTTACTCCTCATTTACGTCTCCATTATGTATTTTGAGACTATTTTCTAGACATATCTTGTGTTGGAAATCTTGTGTCATCTCTCACTAACAATCAGTGTTTTTACAGATGATCGAAAGCAGTGTGACCATGGTGATGTATATGATGAATGATCTTCTCTTAACTTGTGGGCTTAAATTCATTTCTCGTTTTCAGAATATTAATATGTTAATTCTTTTTTTTTTTTTTTTTTATAATCCTAGTGTCACAGGATATGAGAGCTCAAAAACTGGAACAGCTGGACAAAGGAGAAGGGACAGATCATACATAAACAAAAGTCTTCCAACTCTTGCAATTGTAAGTGCCAAAAGATCACCGCCTCCGCCACTTTCTAATTTCTGTAGACGTGTGTGTGACAGAGAGGGAGAGAGAGCGTGGGTGAAAAACTCAAATCTCTTGGGTGAGTGATTGAAGAATTCTGTGATCTCTTCCTCCACTGGATTCTTATGACTCCATTCTTGGCCATGGCACCACCGTCCCCAACTCTCAGAGTCTTTTGTCCTCATTCCTTCTCTTGTTCGGGACACTTTCTTCAATACAAAGGAGAGAGTACCGAGCAATAGAGGGAATGAGAGTATATACCATCTTTAGGATTTTTTCTCTTTGTTCCTCTCTCTCTATATAATGTTATGATGTGTACGTATAATTTGAGTACATACTTTCTTGGTTGATTTTTAGTATATTTTCTCTTTTTTCTCTGTGTAATGTTGTTTGTGTATATTTTAGGTACATACTTTCTTGGGTGATTTTTAATTTGTTTTCTCTCTTTTCATCTACTTCACACTCTTGCCCAATATCTTTTCTCCTTGTGTGTAATGGTATAATGTGTGTGTGGGTATATTTTCTTTGGGTATATGCGTTCTTTGTTGATCTTTAATCTCTTTTTTTTTTTTTGGGTTTATGCATTCTTGGTTGATCTTTAATATGTTTTCTCTCTTTTCCTCTTCCTTTTCTTTCCTCCCTTATCCCGATACCCAGCTGTCAGATGCTTCCCACTCTTGCCCAGTATTCTTTTTTCTCTGTGTGTACTTGTATAATGTGTGTATATGTGTGTGTGTGGGTGTATGCGTTCATTGTTGATCTTTAATATATTTTCTTTGGGTATATGCGTTCTTGGTTGATCTTTGATATGCTTTCTCTCTTTTCCTCTTCCTCTTTTCCTCCCCCATCCCGATCCCTAGCTGTCAGATGCTTCCCACTCTTGTCCATATTCTTTTCTTTGTATTGATGTTTAGTATATTTTCTTTTGTTTCCTAATGTTCTTGATGAATTAGACTTGGAATGATGTTATTAGTAGTATATATTCATGTTGGAAGGATGTTATTTCTATGTATTGCAGTTTTTATTGCTCTGCAGGTGGAACACTGAGTTTATTGCTTTGCAGTTTTTATTGGGAGTTCCCACCAGTTCACGTAGGTAAATGTGAGTTATTGGTTTCTTTCTTTAGTCTTGAAATACATTTTTTACGTGAAAGTTAAAAATAGCACTAGTTGAGTAAGATGGAACTTTCTTTCTCAAGTCAAATTGAACTTTCTGTAGAAACCTGGTAGGATTACAATTGTGGCTGAGGTGTGAAGAGAAGAAATAACAAGGCTATCTGTTTTTTAGATTTTTTTGGGTGGTTGGGGTTGCATTCTATTGTAATATTATAGAATGTCTTGCTATGGCCCGCTATGCATTTATGGTGCTTGTAGTAGACTTGGTTCATACATCTTTTACTAGCAGAACGCAGTTATCTTCAATCTATTTTTGACAATGTTTTTAAATATATTTCACATGTTGTTCCCAATTCTTACTTTTGATACTCAAGATTGCACTTAAATGTGGTCGTGCCAACAAGACCAAATATATAAGAGAAGTTTCATATTCACTCTCCTCTCTTATGTTTCTTGAATTAGATTGAATATATCTCGCCCCCACTCTCTCACTTGTATTTCTGTACACAACATGATCCTAAATACTGGTGCTCCTAAGAGGATATGTTGTACACAAAAAACTAAAAGAGTGGCATAGAGATTCCAAATCAACTATTCATCGTGGGTCGACATCAATTCCACCAAATTTTGCCTCCATCTCCTCTGTCTCCTTTGCATCTAGGGAGCCTTTATGCCGACGACTTAATAGAAGTTTAACTATAACATTCATTTGCTTTTTTTATTTACCATTCTTTATTCTCTTTGTGATTTAATGAAATCATTTAGTGACTTAGGGTGCCCATTTGTCTTTGAC